CTAATGCAGAGGCCCTCCTATTGGGGAGAGACGGAAGCCAAAGCCTGGCGTAAAAAGCTGCGAGAGGCAAAGGAAGCAAGTGAGAGGGAAAGGGCGGCCAAACAAGCATGCCATGTAGAAGAGTTGAGGAAGATGGGCTGTTACCTGGTCCCTGGAGTGCCTCGCCAGGTGAAGGAGACCCCTCATGGGGGTGGATGGGAGATGAAGAGACCCTCCCATTATTGAATCCCTTTTTGCAAGGTTATGACAACCCCGGGTTGGAGGAGGTCCCGGTTGGGCCTTGGGGACTTGAACATGTTGCAACAGTTATGAACAATACTGAAGTACCCTTACCTGAGCTTGACTCAGCGCAAGAGACTAAGCAACCACCACCTGTTAATGTTGACGTTCCAGTTGTTAAAGTTAATAAACCACAGTTAAAGCCAGAACCAAAAGTGTCGACTCCTTTTTGGAACCCTTGGGAAGCCCCAAAGACTGAACCCTCACAGCAAGGAACAAGTGAATGGTATGCCTTTTGTTAACACAAAGTAACAGGATTTCAGACAACAAGAATGGATCACGTTTTGGCCAAAATCCTGCTACATATGCCTGCCCAAGTAATTCCAACTATCTATATTGCTGCTAGTTTAGAAGTCAATGTTTCTATTTCTTGTCACATACTAGTCCTGTGCCTTACTGCATGACAAGAAATGCAGCCATCGACTTCTTAACTAGCAGCAATTTGTTGCTGAATTTTATGCAGTTGAGATTTAGCCCAGAGTAAATATTCGATTGGATTCTGACCTTAATTTTTCTATTAGATGGATAAACATTCAAACCATGTCATCAGTAGAATGTAGTGTGGCAAAGTCCTCTCTGTCCAGAGCACAGGTCAGGAAAGCCACAGAGAGAGGGTATATGTTTTGGAGAAATAAGAATTGGAACTATTTAATGAAACAGTATATCTTGCATCGTGTTCATCTGCAAAAAAATTATGCACCTTTGCTTACAGGACAGTTGCTCTCTTGACCATCAATTTCAAAACACAAATTGTGATCCGTAAAATGCAAGTAAAAACCACTGTTAATATATTCAGATGTAGAAACAAACATGACATTAGACCAGCAGACGGTAATTTCTAAAGATCTAGAGGCCATAGGCATCCCCTGTGGGCCTTGGAGGACTGTGTGGTCTGCCCTGCGCACTCTCCACACCAAAGTTTAAACATTTTCTTTAAATTAAATTGTGTCTCCTAGTGGGCAGAGGTGTGGCTATGTTTTTTAACCTATGGGAGGCATGCACCCCCCAAAACAGCGGTAATTAGAACTCAAGTCACTTCTGTTTTTGAACTGAGTCCCTCCTCCATGCCTGGGGTGGGGGAGCATGTGGCAAAATCACCCTCCTCAAGATATCTCAGAGGGCTTAAGAGAGTTTTGATTTTGTTTAAAACAAGATGTCCACTATTTTCTGCCCAGGGCAGGGCAACATAGGGGCCTTGGAGAACTGACTGGGTAAGAGGAGGACAACATTGCCCAGCCCTAACTTAAACGATGAGAGTCAGGAAATGAATCCTCTGATGCTGGACAACGAGTTTGCTTGTACAGAACCTTTCTTCACATTTGGGTCATTGGAAGTGTTCCTTCTCTAGGTGACTCCGCTGATGTCTATTGAGGGTGGATTTGTCACAAAAGCTTTTGCGGCACTGGGAACATTCAAAAGCCTTTTCTCCCGTGTGGATCCTCTGGTGGGTGATCAGGTGCTGACTCCGGCTGAAGCTTTTCCCGCACTCGGAGCAGGCGAAGGGTTTCTCGCCCGTGTGGTTCCGCTGGTGGGTGACCAGGTGCTGCCTCTGGCTGAAGTTCTTTCCACAATCCGGACACGCGTACGGTTTCTCTCCCGTGTGGGTCCTCTGGTGACAGATCAGGCTGGTTTTGTGGCAGAAGTTCTTCCCGCAGTCAGTGCATCGGTAGGGCTTCTCTCCCGTGTGGATCCTTTGGTGAGAACTAAGGTTTGTGCTGCGGTTGAACTTCTTCCCACAGTTCAAGCAGGAGTAGGGCTTCTCTCCTGTGTGGGTCCTCTGGTGGTTCTTGAAGTCGGAGCGCCGGCGGAAGATTTTCCCACAGACGGAGCAGTCGTGTGGCTTCTCGCCCCTGGGGGTTCTATGAAAGTCCGATTTGTCCTGGAAAAACTTGTCCATCGCAGGGCCTTTGCTCCGCCTTCTCCGTTTACACGTTCCTTGTTGCGCTGGTGTGTCACAGATACCGCCACCGTGGCAAGGAATAACTGCATCCTCCCACTTCTCTCTTTGGTGTCTCTGAAATATTTCTGATTTATCTCTGATGTCAGGGTTTCCTTCCAGCTCCTCACCCATCAGGTCTCTTAGTGAAACAGGGAATGGCTGTCCATCATTCCCACACTGCTCCTCATCTCCTGACAGAACGCAGAAAGAAGACGGGTTAAGAAAATGAAAGCAACTAATTTCTCCTTACAGGTTCCCATGAGCCCCATGGCATAGGGGTTAAACTGCAGTATTGCACAGAAGCCTCTGCTCATGACCTAAACTTGATCCTGATGAGTGCAGGTAGCTGGCTCAAGGCTGATAGCCTTCCATCCTTCTGAGGATGGTAAAAATGAGCACCAAGCTTGCTGGGGAGCAAAGTACTCCTTGCATAATTGCATTGTACACCCACATAGAGAGAGGGCTGTAGCACTATGGGGCAGTATATAAGTTGAGATGGATGGACGGTGACTGATTTCCTGGGGGCAATGAATTTGTCCCGGGTTTTAATCCAAACTTTACAGGAACACCTTTACATTCCGACTAAAATCTGCAGTGAACTCTCTGACCTTGTAATATCAGTCACCAGGAGATGCAAGAGCTCGAACTTAGAACTTGCTTATCATTTGTAATTCTATCTCACATTTGTTTTTTACAGGTTCCCATGACCCCCATGGCATAGGGGTTAAACTGCAGTATTGCAGACAAACCTCTGCTCATGACCTAAGTTTGATCCTGATGGGTTCAGGTAGCTGGCTCAAGGCTGTAAAGTTTGGATTAAAACCCGGAACAAATTCATTGCCCACAGGAAATCAGTCACCGTCCGTCCATCTTAACTTATATACTGCCCCATAGTGCTACAGCACTCTCTGTGTGGGTTTACAACGCAATTATGCAAGGAATACTTTGCCCCCCAGCAAGCTTGGTACTCACCTTAAAGTTCAGACTAGAATCTGGCATTTGTTTTCACCTAGACACTCAAAACACCTTCCTTCTTAAAGGCAATGCTGAGCATTGGCACAGAAAAGCAAAACTGAAACAGAGCCTTTGATGTTCTCAGTGTCTGCACTATTAATGGCCACCTTATGACAGGGCTAATCCTTCGAGGGTCTACTTCAAACTGGAGAGAGTGTCAAGGTCAACCAGTCCTTACCCAATGTGCTACCAGCTCCTTCTTTCTCTTGCTTCATCTCCATGCCAGGTTGCCTTGGAGGAGTTTCCTGAGACATCGCGTTTCCCGTGACAGTTCCAGTTACCTCTTGGGATGTTCCTAGTCCCTGAAATAATCAAGAACATTGGCCCATGGGTAGGTGAAAATGTTTGATATGAACCTAGTTTTGAAGGAAATCTTCTAGGTCACCTTAACCTCCCTCAGAGTTTGGAAGTCATTGTTTAGGCTACATCTTCCAGAATTCCCCGCCACTAGCAGGAATTGTCCCCAAAAGTTACTTTTCAAAGCCCTGCCGCTTCATGCAGGAGATCTAGCCACCTAGAGCGGCCTTTTAGGCCAGATGGACGGGATATAAATAAAATAAATAAATAAATCTAGTGACCCAGCCTTTTCAACTGGTCTCTGCTTGGTCTCTGCTTGAAGACCTTGTGGTGAATAATCCAGATAATCTCTAGATAATCAGTTCCCTTGTTAAACTTTCACAGTCAAGATGTTCTGGATAATATTTCATTTTCCCTTTTAGAGCTGAAGCAAAAGCATGCTACCATCTCACTATGGAATTATGGTGCCACCGTGACGGGGTAAAAACATTTACCCAATGCCAGTCAGATGTGAGGTTCTCACCTGTGGCTCTGATTTCTTGCCTTCTGAACGCCTCAGGAGGAAATCCTCGGCCAGAGTCACAGCATGAAAGCAACTCCGGGAGCCTTGTTCCTTCACCCAGCTCTGCATATCCGAGGGCAGGACGGCCAAGAACTGCTCCAAGATCACCAAGTCTAGGATCTGCTCCTTGGTGTGGCTCTCCGGCTTCAGCCACTTCATGCAAAGTTCCCACAGTCGGCAGTAAACCTCCCGAGGCCCCTGGGCATCCTGGTAGCAGAGCTGCCTGAAATGTCTGCAGTGTGCCTCTGAGCCGACGGCCTCCTCCACCTTGATTTCTTGTGTTTCCCCCTCGTCTCCTCTGCTGGGACCCACGTCCGGGCTGCTCACAGACTGGTGGGCCAGCCCATTAAAAGCCGGAGGAAACCTGGATCTTTCATCAGAAGATCCCTGGTGGACAACTACCGATCCCTCTAAAGGGGTCAGAGAAGCCTCAGGGTTACTGTTCCATGACAAAGTCTCTGGCAACCAAGTCTTCCCCTTTCCAGAGCAAGGGGTCTGTACCACTCTCAAGAACTCCTGCCACTGGGTCTCCCACCGGAGGGAGGACATGCCCTCCTCAGGTTCCTCCTTAATGTGCTGCATGTCTCCCCAGCTCAGAGGCATCCTGGCAACGCCCACCTGATTGTCAGGAAAGACACCTGCCGCTTCCCTTGGTCCCACAGCCGGTTTGAAGCCTTGTGTCTCCTCCAGTTCCACTTTCATTTCTGACTCCTCACGTTCTCCTGCTCCCATTGGGAAGCGGAGACCTGGAGGTGGGAAGCCTGCTTCCTGCTCCACTGCCATTTCCACTAGCCGGGGACAGCCCTTTGCTTCTGTTAGGACCTTCATCCTCTTCTACAAGGGTGGTGGACGAGGGCTGAGGCACCTGTAGCTTTGTCAAAACCAGGAGGCAACTCCATGGAGTGGATGACAGACGAGAACAGGCAGAAAATCTAACTCTGTCTGGCACATATCATTGTAACGCAACTCAAGTCTTTGAGAAAGTTGTTTAGAGGCTGGGGGCTTCCTTTGACAGTCAGCTTGCTGTTCCCCCTGTAGCAAAGAGACAGGCACGGTGGTGAAGGGACAGAGAGAACCACATAATCCCAAAACAAAAGCAAAGCAAAGTGTGCTGTTTATGTACCACCCCAAAGTGCTTAAAGCACTCGCTGGGCAGTTTACAATTTAATTATGCAGGCTGCACATTGTCCTCTGAGAAAATTGGGTGCTCATTTTACCAACCTTGGAAGGATGGAAAGTTGACGCAACCTTGAGCCAACCACCTAAACCCATCAGGATCCAATTCCAGTCATGAGCAGCATCTTGACTGCAGTACTGCAGTTTAACCACTGCACCACGAGGCTCCTACAGTATTTACAAGACTATTTATTTCAGTTAAAAAGGCAGCATTACTCTGGGGATGACAGACTACACCTTTCATCTCCTCCTGCCAGTTGGCCACTGGCCTTTTCTGGTTGTGGGTAATGGGAGTTGTAGTCCGGTGCCCCTGGATGAAGCCAGGTTAAGGAAGGCTGGTTTAGAACAATCCAGCTTTTAAAAAAAATTAGTCCACAGAATCCAGAAGAGTCTAGTCCCTAAAACAGATTCCAAAGAGAAATTTCTGGGGGGTGAGAAACCTTAAGCGAAGGTACAGCAGCAAAAATTCCCAGATTTTGCAGAATACTTATAGGTACAAATGGCCCTGCTAAGTCTTCCCTCTGCATTTAGACATCTACCTGGGAAGAAAAACAGTGCATATATAATTGCCACCCATGCAAATACATTAACTAATCAAATGCTTGCCATTTTTATTCTTTCTCCTCCTTCCCAAGAAATGCAAAAGCCATCCCAGAACCCCCTTTCCTCAACTTTAAATGCACAGCAGTCTCACTTCTTGAAACAGCGTTTTCCTTCAGAAAAAAAATAATAAATCCAAAAGCTCAGTTTTGCAAAGATGTTTGCCAGAGGGGGATGTAGAAAAGTGTGAAGCAGGAAGGTGCACCCCAAAAGGGATTCCCCCTTCCTTCCTCTCTAGGAGCTGTCACGTTGTTGGTTTTAACTCTTAAAACTCCAAAACGGGACCAACCTCTTTCGTTCCTTCACTGCAGGTTACAATATCCTTGTTTACAAAAATTCAAACTGCCTTCTTGAAGGGCTTTCGCTCCCCTACCCGGGGAATTCTGGGAACTACCGTCCAAAAATAGCACTCTATGCGCCTTTACTTCCGAGTAAAACTAATGGAATAGGATTTGGTTGCATTTGTATGGGGGAAAGGGGGCAATGCCTGCCTGCCTGCCAGCCAGGTGGCAGTCTTTGCAGGTAGAATCGAAGCTGGTAATTATTGTATAATTACAATTATAGTTACAGTTATAATTGCAGTTACAGTTATAATTATTAAGCTCCAGGAGATGGGCGTGTGTGTTTAGTCGTTTAGTCGTGTCCGACTCTTCGTGACCCCATGGACCAGAGCACGCCAGGCCCTCCTGTCTTCTACTGCCTCCCGGAGTTGTGTCAGGTTCATGTTGGTTGCTTCGCAGACACTGTCCAGCCATCTCATCCTCGGTCGTCCCCTTCTCCTCTTGCCATCACACCTTCCTAACATCAAGGTTTTTTCCAAGGACTCTTTTCTTCTCATGAGATGGCCAAAGTACTGGAGCCTCAGCTTCAGGATCTGTCTGTTGGTTTTAACTCTTAAAACTCCAAAACGGGACCAACCTCTTTCGTTCCTTCACTGCAGGTTACAATATCCTTGTTTACAAAAATTCAAACTGCCTTCTTGAAGGGCTTTCGCTCCCCTACCCGGGGAATTCTGGGAACTACCGTCCAAAAATAGCACTCTATGCGCCTTTACTTCCGAGTAAAACTAATGGAATAGGATTTGGTTGCATTTGTATGGGGGAAAGGGGGCAATGCCTGCCTGCCTGCCAGCCAGGTGGCAGTCTTTGCAGGTAGAATCGAAGCTGGTAATTATTGTATAATTACAATTATAGTTACAGTTATAATTGCAGTTACAGTTATAATTATTAAGCTCCAGGAGATGGGCACTGCAGCATAATTATCACTAGTATTACCTATATTATAACTTTATAACTTGATTGCCCCTGGAGGCAAGACTGCAACTCGAACATTGCAGCATAATTGTACAGTAATTATAATTACAGTTCATAGTTTCAGATAGAATTGAAGTTAAGCATTACAGCATTTATAATTATTATACGTGAGAACTAGTGTGCTGTAGTGGACTGAGTGTCAAACTAGGGCTTGGGAGACTTGAGTTCAAATCTCTTCTCAGCCGTGGATGTTTCCTGGGTGGCAGCAACAGCAAATAATTTATTGAGCATCTTTGAAAGCACTATTAAGGTTGCCAGAAGTCGAAAGTGACTTTGCAACAGGTAGCAACAAAATTGCCTATGAGAGCAGCAAAGAGAACACAGTGTCGGACTAAGAGCTGAGTTCAAATCCTGTCTTGGCCATAGGAATTTACTGGAGAGTGGCATGGGCAAGTCACTTCTTGAACCCATCTTACAAACGTCCCAAGTACCTTTTAGGATTTATTAGTGAATTCTTCCACTAAAAAAGCACCCATAGATAGATAGATAGATAGATAGATGTGGCTTTTAAAAAAAATGCAACCCCAAAGCTTTCTAGAGGCATCGAGGAAGTTCTGCTTATTTTAAATTTAAAGCCACCTCACAGACAAAAATCAAGCCTTCTGGTGCTTCTCGCCCTGTTTAGAGATCCTGAGAACCCAATCGTTTTCTGAGACTCCAGCCAGCAAGAACCGTGGGACCTGGCAAGGGTGGGAAATGAGGACAATGATGATGGGGGTTGTAGTCCCAAAGCTTAGGGAGGGGCGAATCAGCTTGTCTTGGTCTTACTTACTGGATGCCTCTGCTTGGAGGAACTCAGGAGAACAGAGATTCTGTGCTGTTTGGCCTTCAAAGGGTTAAAGGTACTGAGCTGGATTCCTAGAGAGGATGCGAATGGGGGGGGTAGAAATGGAGGGGAAGTCGTCCATTCATCCCCTTCTTTAGGAGGGTCCTCCTTCCGAGGGAAGGCAGGGTCTGTTTGTCCCAAGCGCCGCCTTTCCACCCATGCACCCCATTTTCTGGAATCTGGTGAGTTTTCCCCTTTGAATGTATTAAGGATTAGGGGGCCAGGCTGAAACTGCAGCCAGTTAAGTGGAGAAAATGTGGGGTGGGGTGAAAGGTGGTGTCATGAAACTTTTGGGAAGGTGGGGAGGGCTGAGGAAAGTGAGGGAAACCCCCCACCCCCATTTCATCTCATAGAAGGTGGCCTGGTGCTCTTTGGATCTGTCAGACTCCAAATCCCATTATCCCCATTAAGCATGTCTTTTACGAATTCACCACGTGGGGAAGGGGGCTCCTGCCGTACCGCAGGAGCTTGGAATTGTTACATGTTGGACTACAAATCCCAGAATCCCCTGATCCTTTTCCTAACCTCCCCCACAGCCTTTCCCATCAGAAAGAGCCATTGCTACGCTCTGCAAAGCCAGAAGGATGTGCCTCTCCACAAGTGGGGGTGGTGATGTTTTAAAATTTGAAATATTAATTCAGTGGATACCTAAATTTCCTGGGAAGCAAATGCTGGAGACATACTCCCTCCCCTTCCCAGGTTCTTTTTTTAACCTGAAAGGGTAACTTGTTTAAGTTCTGATTGAACTCAGACAGTTAGTTAACTATATTAAATTACTGTAAATGTTTAGTCCCTTTTAAAATACTGTATAAAATTATCCCTCAAGGCATGCAAATCTTTCAGCACCAGGTGCCTGAGACAACAGGGGTACAAAGCTGTGTGATATCTCCTGACAGCCCATTTGCATGTCTGTAATTCCTCACTGCTCTTTCAGGGACCAGGCAGTCTGTAGAGTCTCTGGCAGAGAGAAACTCACTTAGAATAAGGATTTAATGGGCTATATATTTCAGCCCGGTTGCCCTCTTTGAGATACAGTGGACCCTCTACTTACGGAATTAATCCGTATTGGAACGGTGGCTGCAGGTCGAAAAGTCTGTAGGTCAAATCTCCATTGACCTACAACGCATTGAAAACCGATTAATCCGTAACTGGACGTTTTTGTTCCATTTTTGTTCCATTTTGGCTTTTTTCTGGTCTGTACGTTGATTCTCCGGCTGCAAGTCGAATCTAAATTTTGCAGCCAGAGAAGTCTGTAACTCGAAAAGTCTCTAAGTCGAGCCGTCTGTAAGTCGAGGGTCCACTGTATGCGAGAAATTTGTGGACAATCTATATGCCAACAAAAGGGTTAGGATTTACACTGTTCTTGTAAAACTCCTCTCTAATGTGCTTGTAACTTTAAAAAATTATTTTTTGTGCACTAATCCTTTGAAAAATTATATAATGTTCTATTATCATGAAATTTTAAAATGTTTTATCGTATTGCATTTAAGTGAGGTTGTCTAATATAGGTTGTTTTTTATATTTTGAAATGCATATTGATATAATAGAAAGTTGTTTTATTAGAATTATTGTCTATTGTCATAATCTGTTGTGAACAGCCCAGAGTGGCCTTTGGCCAGATGGAAGTTGTACAAATTAGATAGACAGATACCCTGTTTCCCCAAAAATAAGACCTAACCTGAAAATAAGCCCTAGTATGATTTTTCAGGATGCTCGTAATATAAGCCCTATCCCAAAAATAAGGCCCAGTTAAGTGAAACCCCACCTTCCACCCTGGTGCAGCAACCAGAAGAAGATGACATGACTGTATTTGAATAAATGTAGACGGTTGTACATGAAAAAAAAAATTAAAACATCCCCTGAAAATAAGCCCTAATGTGTTTTTGGAGCAAAAATTAATATGTTTAAGACCCTGTCTTATTTTTGGGGAAACACGGTAGATAGATTTAATCATCTTTTAATATCGACCACTATCTTCTGGCAGAGCTCTGCTGGTGCAGCAAGAATGGCATCGCTGGTAGCAGCGGATTTCCACTGATTACAGAGTAACATTTTTGATTATGGAATGTGAGCAACTCGTGTGTAATTATACAAAGTCATGCACTCCTGAAAGTGTAAAAAGGGAACTCTTTAATTAGTAGCAAACTGTCAGTGCTTTCAGTGATGTCATGTCCATTGCACCAGTGGAGCCCTGCAAGGGAAGAGTGACCATTGCAATTTACTGCATTCCTTCACCTGCATTTGTTCTTCAGTATTTTGTGAGGTGTACCCTTTATGGGGAAAAGGCAATAAATATATAAAAAGGACCAATGAATTTTCATCTTCCACTATTCCCTGGCTTCCCCTTTTCTCCCCAAGCTGTTGTGAATTTTGAAGACGTACCTGTGTCTTTCACAGGAGGAGGAGCCGGCTTCCCTGGATCCTGACCAAAAAGTTTTCCACAAGAAAGTTCTGGGGGAAATATAGTATGTGAAATTCTGGCGCCTCTTGGTAAGACACTCTTCACTCAGCTGATGATTATGACTGTTGAAAATAATCAGTTTAATTTTTCCTGCACAGGGCAAATATCCCCACTTCTCAAATTCCCTGGTTCTGTTCTAGCAGGATTGATCTACTTTTATTTATACAAACATATCTCGTATTTCTATTTATGAGGGTGGGTAATATTGACAGGTCTGGGGACAGCATGTGCCCGGTCTTGAATCTTTGAAAGTCTGCCTTGATTCCTACCTCAATTTTTTATTCTTACAACTGTTGGATTTTTATTAAAGCAAAAAACAGGCATGCACATTGGTTTTTCTTTTGACTCCAAACCTCAGAATTCTCCACTCCAGGAGTTCCACCTGCCAGACATTTTAAATTTTACTCACCTGGAGAAAAGCTGGGCTAGAACACTTCATGGCCTAGGATAGGCCAAGGTCAGGCCTAGTTTCCTGTTTGAACAGGAAGCTGACCCTGGTGGTTGTGAAACCTATTTAATGCCTGGCAAGATATATCTCAGGACTTAAGTCTTTTCCATTATTTCTTT